ACTAATTTATTTTCTAATCAAAATCCCGTTACATATTCCAAATTTCTTTGGAATCGAACATACATATCGTGTATGGTGCATAAAATACATGAAATCGGTCGAAAATATATATGAGAGCTATATCCAAATCTGAACCGATTTTAAAATAATTTTACAAATGTATATTTGTTTTAATTTCCGCTACACATTCCAAATTTCATTGAAATTAGAGATACATAGCGTGTTCGGTGCATCAAATACATGAAATCGGTCGAAAATATATATGAGAGCTATATCCAAATGTGAACCGATTTCAATATAATTTGACAAATTTATTTTCGGATTAAATCCCGTCACACATTCCAAATTTCATTGGAATCGAACATTCATATTGTGTTTGAGGCATCAAATAAACGAAATCGGTCGAAAATATATATGGGGGCTATATCCAAATCTGAACCGATTACAATATAATTTGGTAAACTTATTATTGTTCCAAATTCCGTTACGTATTCCAAATTTGGAGACTGTATCTTCAACCAATCAATATATATGTGCATATAAAATCTAAATTTTTGGGAGGTACCTCCGATTCTTATGCTATATCTCCAGTTCCATGTGGAAATTCAAAAATGTATGTAGCCTATGTTACTTTCAGGCGATGTTGCAGTATATATGGAAATTTTCAGGAAAATCTATTCAGCGGTTTTCGAGTTCATAAATTACAAACAAACAAACAAACATACAAACATTTTCCTCTTTTATAGATATAGAAGATTAGCAAGTGCCCGCTACTTCGTCGGCGAAAAATCTACATTAAAAATTAAGATTTTAGATATAGTACTATATAGTACATTTCGCATAATTATGGTACTTTTTTAGCTTATCCCTTCACCTAAAGCCAAATTTAGTACTATTCAGTTCTTTTCGTACAACTAGAGGACATATTTCCAAAACCACCTCCATGTCTCAATCCCAGATACCAACAGAGACCTCAATATGAAATGTGAGGATTCCAGCTCTACCACAGAAGTAATAACCAATTTAGCGCCACTTACAGTTCTAAAGCCACCTCCATATCTTAACCACAGACACGAAACAGATAAATATATATAAAATTTCAGGATTTCAGATCTTTAAATTCGATATTTTCGTACATTTCCAAAACTACCTACATATCTCAATTCTTGGTACCAACAGAGGTCTTAATACTAAATTTTGAGGATTCAAGCCTTAACCCTTTCACCCAATACTAAATTCGGTACCACTTCGTACTTTTCGTGCAAACACATTTCCAAACCACCACCAAATCTCAAACGCAAATACCATCAGTAATTTAAATATCATCTTTTCTAATTTTATATCTATCCCTTCACCCAATACCAAATATAGTACGATTCAGTATTTTTCGTACAATTATAGTACACATTTTCGAAACCACCTCCATATGTCCTGGCTACACATGAACAGCGACTTCCAAAACCACCTTCATATATCAAAATTATTTTCTAACCTTAATTCTCATACAAAATTTGAAGTTTGTAGAGTTATCAGTTCACATAATACCAAATTGTACCACTAGAGAGAGTATGATAGACGTACCAAATTTTAAAACATTTTCTGAATTTAAAGTTCGAATTTCCAATAACCCTTTGGTGCACCTTTCGATTGCATCTATTGGTTTGGTACATCTATCGGTTCATCACAATTTCAATTTGTTTTAAATTTAGTGCCTATACTACAGATAAGTACGAATTTCCAAAACTTCCTACATTATCCAATCCTACACTCCAAGAGTAATCTTAATTCCAAATTTCAGGATTTTAGCGCTATCGGTTCACCCAAATCCAAATTGTACCAAATTTATTACACTAAAGTACAAATTTTCATAACTACATATATCATACAGTCCAATACAAATCATATTTTCAAATTTCATTTCAAAATTAAAATTGTTCCAAATTTAGTACCATTTAGTAAACATAAGTACAAATTTCCAAAACTACCAACATACCTGAATTTCAGAGTTTCAGCTCTATCGGTTTACCCCAATCAAAATTGTACCAAATTCAGTACCATTTAGTACTTTTCATATACATGAGTACACACTTCCTTTCATCGACTCTACTCCTCAAACTTTATTTCCATTCCAAATGTCAAGTTTTTAGCTCTAGCCAAATGGATTGAGCTAGAATTCTGAAATTTGGAATGCACTATATAAGTGAAGTGTAGATGCATCGAAGCGTTTTCAGAAATTCGAACTTAAAGGTTACGAAAAGTTCAAAAATGGTAACATTTGGTATTATTTCAACGGACAGAGCTAAAAACTTGACACTTCAATCAAGGTTGGGAAGAAAGTTTGATACATGAGGGTGGTTTGGGATATATGTACTAAGTGCTCGAATTGTACTACATGACACAACATTTGGAACAGTTTGATTAAAAGAGAAGCTGGAATTTTTAACTTTTGTATCGGGGTACCTGTTGCTGGTTGGTTTGTGATAAAGATGTGGTTTTGTTCTAGTACTATATTTGGAACAATTCGGAAATGTATACTATAATTGCACGAACAGTACTGAATGGCACTATATTTGGTATTAGGTGAAGGAATAGAAACAACATTCTGAAATTTGATATTTAGATTACAAATGGTATCTGTGTTCGAGATTTGACGTGGTTCGGAAATACGTTTTGTAAGAAAGTATTATGTGTTACTAAATTTGGTAAATTTGGTTGGGAGCAGGGATAGGGCTGGAAATTTGATATTTCGGTTTCTGTTGCTATCTTGAATTGAGATATGAAGGTGGTTTTGGAAATGTGTGCTATATGCTATGTGTGTGAAGGAATATAGCTGAAACCCTGAAATGTGATATGGAACTCACTATTGGTGCCTGTAGTTAAGAGAAGGAGGTGGTTTTGGAAATTCGTACTATGAATGTATTTAAAGTAAAAAATGTCACAAAACGTGCCTTTGGGTGTTGGTATAGAGATGGAATTCTTAAATTTGGTGTCGAGGTCACTACTGGTGTATAGGGTGGTAAGAATTTGGTTTTGGACATTCGTAGTAAAACTGTACGAAAATAATGGTAATAAATTTGGGATTGACTCTTAGGACACAGCTGGAATTCTGAAGTTTGATATGAAGGCCACTATTGCAAAATAATTTTGGTAAAAAGAGTTGGATATAGGAATGCGTACTATGATTCTTCGAAAAGTACTAAATGGTAATAAATTTGCCGTTGAGTGAATGGATAGACCTTGAATCCTGAAATTTGATACTGAGGTCACTGTTTGTTTTTATACCCTCCACCATGGTATGGAAGGTATATTAAGTTTCTCATTCCGTTTGTAACACCTCGAAATATACCTTTTAGACCCCACAAAGTATATATATTCTTGATCAGCAAAAAATTTGTATGTCGATTTAGCGATGTCCGTCCGTCTGTGGAAATCACTCTAGGTTCCGAATGAAGTGAAGTAGATTGATAAAATTTTACTCAAACGTATGTCTGCAGGATTTTTCGGTATTGAAAATGGGCCATGTAAGTCCACGTTTTGGTATAGCCCCCATATAACGGTACCTCCCGATATTCGGTATTTAGATGGTTATAGCGACATTATTCACCGGAATTGTTTTAAATTTGGTATTTGAAGTTCGTAATGAATACTACTGCCTAAGACAGAAAATTATCTGTGCAGGTCCACGTCTTCGTATATCCCCATATAACGGTACCTCCCGATATTCTGTATTTTGATGATTTTACCCACATTACTACCGATTTTTTTTAAGTTTCGCATTTGAATATTGTAGTGGCTTATGACAAATTTCACCTATGCAGGTCCATGTCGTCGTATAGACCCAAATATAACAGCTACATTTGGTATTTTTAAAATTTTACCAAAATTTTTAACGTTTTTTTTTTTTGAAAATTGTCCAATTAGTTCCAAATGGTGGAGGGTATTCAAAGTTCGGCCCGGCCGGACTTACAGCTTTTTTATTTGTTGTAATTCCGACGGCTCAGCTGGTATTGAACTTGCAACCTTTTGATTTGATGTTAAAAATACTATACACGGTGCATCGGATATTAAGGACTGTTTTACGTTTACATCTACATCAATTCTCACAACCATTGGCTCAAACACACAAGCATTGGCTTTGTAATAGGACTCGCACATTACGGCTCTATGTTACTTATTGCTTGGTAATATGGAAAGTAAGTGCTTTTATTATCGATATTTTAAGGAATAACAAATTTTTAAGGTACTATTAATATTAGAAGGTTCTTCATTTATGTTGCCCCTTAATGGGTTATTCGACTCATGCATCTTCGGAAATTTTGTAGGGTAGCATCATCATCAACAACTTATAGTTATAATTTTTTGGGTATTTTTAATTCGGAATGCCTGAAATCAGCCAAATTAATTGGAAGAAGTCTAGGAAAAAATGAAGCTTCCGCAAAATCGGGCGGTGACAATAGATGGCAGTTCAGAAATCGTGGTGTATATGCTATACTTTTCCGACGTTTCAAAGCTATGTCAAAAAAGTCGTAAACCTAGCAAAGTAATCGGAATTTTTGACAAAAACACCGTGATGAATATTTGTCAAGCTTAAATAAAGGCGACAAATGTCAAACGAACATTTTTTATAAGATTTTTTTTTTTCATTTCATATTTTCATAGTATTAAAATCCAGCCTCAGGTTCTAAGCTATCTGATCTAACTTTGCAGATTTAAAAGATTTACCCGAGTAAACTATCATCGTTGTAACAACATTTGAGAAGTGTAAGACGTTTTAAAATTTTTCTACATTTTATACAGGTTATGAGGTATTCGACAAAACTGTCGAAAACCTGAGGTGGCTGAGGGACCAAATTCGTTATAAATGTTTCAATAAATTAATTCGCATCTCTACACTAAGGTGAATGTTTTATCTGCTACGAATAATGTCATTTCATGCGAATGTAATTGTGAAGCCCACCCCAACAAATACCATTACAAGAATACCACAAAACAATACTTACTCGTTGTGGGGAATGTCCTCGTCCTGATCGCCGGTAACGGTGAAAATGTTCAATTTGAAAATCAAGAGACCCAAAAATAGGGTGAGTATACAGATATGTTTACGCTCCATTGTGATGATAAAAATTCGCTTGATGTTAATGGGGGGTATCTGGCTATAATTGGCCGTTTAGTTTGACGTCGGCGCTGACGTTGACTCTGATGACGATGATGTAAACAACAACAATGCCAAAATAATCACTGATGGTTCATCAATGAATGGAACTTGGCTGTTGTTGTATTGGTGTTGGTGCTGTTGGTTTATTGTTTTTATTATTTTTGTGAATATTAAAATCCGAAACGCGAACTTTAATCCAAAATACTTTTAGTTGTTGTTCTTCTTGCTTTTTTGTTTTCTTTGTTTTTTAAATGCCGTTGCGATGGTTATATTCCACGGAAGAAATGGTTGCACGAACACACAAACACACTGACAAATTCAATTGTAACGATTTTTATAGATTTTAACCCAAAATTGTGACTTTAATGCCGTGTTTTACAGCAACACGACACGAATCGGAAAAAAACGCACCGACAGAAAAAATACTACAGCGTGAGCGTGTTAACACCAAATGAAGGTGTAAGCGAGTGCCCCACACAAAAGAGGCCAATCTAGATAGGAATCACGGTTTTCGTTTTGTTTTTTGCTTTTTATTATTTTTTGTATTTTGTTATTGTTGTTGTTTTTGTATTATGCCTTTTCTTCTCTATTCACAGTTGACTTTTGCTGCGTGGTGAAAAGGAATGAGGAGGATTCTTCCAATGATTTTTTAATCGGTTCAACGTTTTTGTTTTTTATTTGTTATTTTTGTTGTAGTTAACGCGATTATTCCTTTATTGGATGGTTTGGTCGTTTGACTTTATTAGCACAGTTTTTTTTTTTGTTTTTTTTTTTTTTTGTTTCGGTTTCTTTGGAATTGGTTTTGATTAACTGTAAAAATAACCGTTACATTTAACACATTCAAACAGTAATGACACTCGGTTATGACGGTAAACACCCGATGTTACGTTCGCCTCGTTTATTGGTTTGTGGGTGTTGGGGTGTGCGTAACCACCTAAACTACTGGTTGATTGGTATTTTAGATATAAAATGGACTTGGTCACACATATACCGAAAAAAATACAACTACAGCAGCAACGCAATGATTGCAATCAAATGTTTGTCTGCTGTCAATGTTGTCGCGAACCGGAAATAGTTTTATAATTTATTTTACCACTATCACTGTAACTGTCATCGTTGTTTGTGTGAGCGTGTGCATATGTGTGGGAGTGTGTATCAAATATTTTATTTCAATTTATTTGTATGGATTTTTTTTTCGATTTCAAATTTCTCTTTTGTTGTTTATTTTTGTTTTTATTTTCGCCTATTTATTTGAAGCTGTAATTAATGGTCAATGCTGAATTGTTTGTCACTTGGTAATCGCATTTGTTGTTGTTGCTGATGCTGCTGTTTCTCCTGATTATAATGCTGATATATAATTTTATTTATATTGGATTTGGCCATCATCATTATTGTTATACTATTTGTATGGAATTTTTTTTTATTCTTAAATTTATTTTATATCCTTTTTTTAAGTTTGTTTTTAAATGTGTTATTGACACTCGGTTTCTTTAGAATTAATGTTGTTTTTTTAGATAAAGTCCAGTGTATTGATATGTTTTAGATCTGTAAATAAATAAAAAAAAGATTTTATGTGTTAACAAATAGCTTATATAAAACAACGAGTTTTTAATTGTTAAATTTTTTAAATTGTTGGGGCTGGATAATTCCAAGTGGAATTGGCAGTATTCGGTTAATAGATTAAAATCCCAAAAGAGTTTTTTGTTCCCAGAGCAAACTTTTTTAGGATCCATTGTATACAGCCTTAACCATACACAAAGTTCCTTAAATATCTAGCATACAGTTCGTAAAATTTAAGATAGAGCTCTCAAACTTGATTCTGACCAATGGGTTACATAAAGAATCTTTTGTACAAAATATAGATCATGTCGGTCTATACCGTTTTGGTATAGGCCATGTAAGGTATAATCCGATTTCAAGTATATTTTATATATTAGCCACAGTTTTATACCCTCAGCCATATGGCTAGAGAAGGTATACAGGGTGAGATAAAAAAGCTGCAACAAAGTCACACGACATAACATTTTAAATTTTATTGAATAAAAGCAAAAAATGTTGAAAATAGCATCAAATTTTAGAATATGTTTAGATTTGTTCGAATTTGTCACCTGTGGCACGAATTATGGCCTTCAAACAGCCAATGAAACCGTCACATGTTGCACTGCGCTATTTTGGCCCATTCCCGGCGAAGCATTTGCTTGAGGTGATTGACAGTTTGGAATTTTTTAGTTTCAACCTTGCTTTCCAAAATTTGGTGGTCATTGTGCGCTGGAAATGAAGCGAGGAACCTAATTTGGAACTTTTCTTGGGTGGCGCGTGCTTAGTGCGATGGTGCTGAGTCCTATTAGAATGTACAAGGTTTGCGTCCAAAATGTTTGTGTGCCCAAGGCTTTAATACACCCTCCACAATATTTCCGCGATAACATTCGGCATTTATATCTTTTTTTTAATACAAGAGGAGAGCGACCATCGGGTGTTATGGCGGCCCACACCATCACCATGGCCGACGCTTGAGTTCTGGTGACCAACCGAAGGTGCACATTCTCAGCTGAACTCTTTGGCAAGTAATTTTCAGCTGATCTCTTTGGCAAGTAAACACGATCATTTTGTTTGTTTACAAACTGCTGGACAAGCGAAGCAACTCTTTAGCTATTTTAACTCTATTTTCTTTCTGTTGCCGTGTAATTACTTGCACATTTTGGAATTTTAATTTTTCAATATTTGCCAAATGGAATATTGCAATATGTTCAGCTCACGAGCCATTTTCGGCCACTGCGACGCCGGTTTCGATCAAGTCGCAGTATCACGGTAACGAGCGATGGTACGAGATACATTTACATTTAAATGCTGGAGTGCTCTAACGATAGCCACTTGTGGTTTTCCTGCCAAATATAAAGAAATCGCACTACAACGCTTGAATTCCATCACAATATTTTTATAAAACCAAGATCTGGTGTGAATATGGAATAAATCGGTCTACTCCTTCTGGTACCTCCCCCACAAAGGGTCACAATTTTAAATATCCAAGAAGTTCATAAAAAGCTAATTTAATATTCCATTCTATTCAAACTTGTCACATCTCAATATTTCTATCATCAATAGGTGGGTTGTACCTCCCGCACCAAGGGTCCAAGTTTTGAATAACCAAAACGATAATAAAATCCGAAAACACATCCAGTTCTCTTCATATTTCACACATCCTATTATTTCTATTAAAACAAGAATTGCTGTAAAAATGGCATATATCGGTCCACTACTTCTGGTACCTCCCCCACAAAGAGTCAAAATTTTTAATATCCATGAAGCTCACAAAACGCGAAATTAATATCAGATTACATTCAGACTTGGTAGATCACAATATTTCCATCAACACAAGATCTGTTATAAAGATGGTAGAGATCGGGCCATTTCTTCTGGTACCTCCCCTACATAGGGTTCCAGATTTTGAAAAACAAAACGCTCAAAGAGACGAAATAAGCATCAACTCTCTTGAGATCTAACACATACAAACAGTTTTGCTAACACAAGAACTGTTGTGAAGATGATATTATCTGTAAACCCCTTTTGATACCTCACCTACAAAGGGTAACAATTTCAATGTTTCCGAATTGCGCTCATATAAATTGACCTCCTGATTTGACCTATTTCGAGGGTCTTGAACATATTTTTCAATCGAATGAGTAAAATTTGCATTTAGGCTACCTTGTGGGTAGGAAAAAAATTTGCAGTAAAATTTCAAGTTTAAGTTTACTTGGGGGTTACAAATGTACCTAGCTCTACGCAGATAATTTTCTTTCATGGGAAGTAGTGTCCATTGCGAACGTCAAATTCTGAATTTGAAATAATTCTGTTGAAAAATCCAACTACAACCATAAAAACACCGAATATACCAAGTTTATGTTAATTTCGTTGAAAAATGTAGCTTAAATCAACAAAATACCGAATATTAGGAGGTACTTTTATATGAAGGGCTATAAGAAGGCGTTGATCTGTACAGAAAGTAGTACCCATTACGAACTGTAAATACCAAAATACCTAATATCTGCAGGTTCATTTATATGAGAACTATACTAAAACTTGGACCTCAATAGACAGTTCTATGCAAAAATATTTCCAAACTGTGAATTCACAGCGAATTCGGGCTGTACGAAGACCAATATCGTGGTCTATATAGCCCATTTTCAAAACGAAAAGCCTTGCAGATCTAAAACTGATATGAGTAAAATTTTATTAAACTACATAATTTTATTCGGAAAGTAGAGTGATTTTGCAGACCGACAGACATAAAATAGGGTCTAAAATGTATTTTCGGATGTTACAAACGGAATGACAAACTTAATATAACCTCCATACTAAACCCGTCGTCTTATTAAGCATTGGGGTTGGGTTAGGGCCGGTATAGAAAACTATTGTTTTTGAAGATCTTCGCAAAAGGGTAAAATGTGAAATGTTTTGAATACCTATCAGCACGATAAAAGGCGTTAATATAGCGACAATATCACCAGTCAAAAACCCAAAGTTAACATTTTTGCTGGACTGTATGGCATTATTTATCAAAATTGGCCAAAATGGGTTTGGACCCAAAGTGCTTTTCCTCCCTATTATAGTGTTGCAGGGTATTATATGAACAATTAAGCAAATTGGTATTGACAAATTAAAAAGCAGTAAAGGTGTAAGTACTTAAGAAGCTTGGAGTCATGGCTAGGCATATTTTGTGACATTTCATAAAGGGATTACAGAGCAGCACTGAAATGCTGCCGTCGTTTTCATTATAATTTGACATTAATATGCTTAGGCATGACTTCAAGCTTTTTATGTACTTGCACCTTAAGTTCGGCCGGGCTTAACTTTTAATACCATCTATCATTTGGAAAGAGATTTGAAAATTTGGATTAAAAAAATTGAAAAAAAAGAAAATAAAAAATATAATCCATTAAAAATTCTATTAAACTCTTAAAAGTGCCGAATACAGGGAGTTACCGTTATGTTGGGGTCCATACGAAGACGTGGAGTCACATAAGCAATCTTCTGTCACAGCCATATCGAAATTCAAAGTGCCGAATATAGGGAGGTACCTATATTTAGGGGCTATACAAAGACCTGGACCTGCATAGACAATTTTCTGGCAGTACCAATTACGAATTTCAAATACGAAGTTTGAAACAATTCCGGTGCATAGTATCGCCGAAATCATCAAAACATCGAACACGAAAGGTATCGTTACTTGAGGGCTATACGAAGACATGGACATACATAGAAAATTTTCTATCATAGGCTATAGTACCCATTACGAACTTCAAATATGAAATTTGAAAAAGATCTGATAAATAATGTCGCTAAAGTCATAAAAATGCCGAATAGTGAAAGATACCGTTATATGGTACAGTTATATGGGGACTATAAATAAACATGGATCTACATTACCCATAGCAAAAGTCCTGCAGACGAAACAAACATTTGAGTAAAATTTTATCAACCTACTTCAATTCGTTCGGAAGCTAGAGCGATTTCCACAGACGATCGGACAGACAGACATATGGACGGTCATCGTTAAATGGACATAGAATTTTATGCCGATCAAGAATATATGTATATACTTTGTGGGGTCTAAAGTGTATATTTCGAGGTGTTACACACGGAATGACAAGAATGACAATATACCCTCCATACTGTGGTAGAGGGTATAAAATGAGCTATTTAGGTCCACGTTTTAGTATAAACCCCATAAAACTGTATCGGCAGATATAATATGTTCATTTTTCGTTATTGTTTTCAATTTGATATTCGGAGTTCGTAATGGTTACAGTTTCCTATGATAGAAAAAACCCTATGAAGGTCCACATCCTCGTATATCCCTCATATTGTGATACCTTCCGTGATTTGATATTATTTGGTTTTTACCACGTTTTTAGCGGAATTATCACAAAATTGGTATTTGTAGTTCTCTGGCAAATACAGCTCAAAAGTAATACAGGACGACGCTCCCATACAGCTCCCATAAAATTGTACAACCCCGATATACGGAATTTTAATAATTTTAAAGGACTTAGTAACCGATTTTTTTTACATTTTGCAACATCCTTCCAAATAGTGGAAGGTATTTACATGTTAGCCTTGTTTTAATAATCTTCTTAGATGTTCCTGTAATTACATTTTGGGTGGCACAGTGGGTCCTATGATTGCTTAAAAATACCACTATTCTGGAGGTTCATGCCTAAACGTAAACCGATTGAGCCCATTCTTAATATCAATACTTAATCTTGTTTCAAATTGCTGAGCTCTATACAAAATAATCGAGACTTTTTCTCTATATTCATTTCATTTCAATCTTATTATCAGACGAGTATCTTTAAATCGGGTTCTATGGTGATCAAGAATATACAAATATTATGAGGTCTCCAAAGAATATTTCGAGATGTTATTAAAGGAGAGACAAATTTAATAAGCCCTCTATTTTATGGTGTAGTAGCTAGCAAAAATGCAATAAAAGAGAGTTTCCTTTAACTTTGTTTTATTTTGTGGCTTTCATAAACGAAAATCGTTGT